ATTTCTATGTATATACATGCATGACTGGAACACTGTGCTGTACACGAGAAACTGACACATTGTAACTGACTATATATACATCAATGAAAAAAAAAGCCTGTCTTCATTTTGCAAATCTAGTCTTTACAGGATCAGAGTATGGCTCTGAAAATAATACAAAGCCCACCAACATTTTACCACTCCCCAAACCTCCCTTGTATATCTTAAGAGACTTGTAAATATCTAGAAAAAATAAAAAACTTTTCCTGGCCTTAAGAGAACGAAGTCTTTCTAAGAAGAACTTGCTTTCTTATGCCTTTGAGATACAAATGTTCTACCATGTCTTCTCCAGGAACCCTGATCTTGCCATCTTTTTAAGATACAAATTTCAAAAAGGGGTTAAATAATTTAGAACTTGACTTGTTAAGGACAAATAAATACCTAGTCTCGTTTCCATAAATATTAGAAAAAAGTGTTAGTCTTCTAGATAGGCCAACTATGATTTGTTCCGTCTGCCAAAAACCCAATTTAAATCCAAACTCTTTTGTAACTAATGAGTTTTACATTGTTGTACCCAATTAATTCATGGCTAAATTTTAGAATGGAAACTGAGGTCTCTGCTTTGTATATTTGTGTGTCATAGATGTATGGTATTACCAAAATTAATTTGTAAAATAGCTCTATTTAATTGGCTTAAGGGAAATTAATTGCTTATATAAATACTCAAAAATATTAAAGAAGCTGGCCAAAATGAAGTTAAGGTTCACGTTATCTAAAGAACTTTCAGTACTAAATCAATATCTGGAATTAAAGCTAGCTTAAGCTTGTTGGTTTAATTAATATAGACATGTCTTTAGAGTCATCAGTGTCAAGTATAATACTTCTGTTGTACCTCGGCTTACTAGAGATCAAATAAGACCCTTTTATATCTTTTACAAATTTGTCAGCAAGGAAAGTAACTCAATGTAAAAAAAGTTTTCAAAAAAGTAAACGTAAACAAAATAAGAGCTTTTGGGTAAACTTTATAGGCACAATTATGTTTTGGAAACGTCTATTTAAAATAGTCTCTTGGGGGAAGGGTGTAGCTCAGTGGTAGACTGCCTGCTTAGCATGCACAAGGTGATGAAATGAAAAAATAAACAAACCTAATTACCTCCCTCCAAAAAGAAAAAAATAAAAAACAGATTTAAAATAGTCTCTCCAAGTTTAGGCACTTAAAACTAAGTTAAGTGAAAAAAAAAACCATTTCGGTCATTTATAAAATATTGTAGCATTAATTGCTGGGCAGGTCTAAGTTTACCTACCTTTGCCTTCTTAGAAGAGAAAAATAAAACATATTTCCAATCAAAAAAAGCTGGTATGACAACCAATTCACAATTACTTGCTTTCTGGTCTTCACCAAAGATTAAGGTTTTTAAGGATTAAAATTATAATGTATATAATTAAAGCTACTAAAATAATAAGGGAAATATCTTGGTATACAGCAGGAAAGTCAGATGTGTGTTTTCAGCAAAAGAAGGTATAAGGAATGGAATTACGTTTTGAGGGAAACGATGGTTGGTTTTTTCTATAGCTGGTTGTTTCTGGATGGAAAAAATAAGGGACAAACTAATATGGATACAGAAAGTGATGGAAGATTTGTGGAAAAGGAACCCTGAGAAAAGAGCTTTGCACATGATCAGGATTGGTTAAATTTAGATTGATTTAAATAAGGAAATGGATTAGGTTGTTAAAAGTAAGCTAGTGCAAAACTGGAAGTTAATTCTATTAAAAGGACGAAGTTTTCTTAAAATGTTAATCTGCTTTTGGTAACAGACTCTAAAGCTCTTTATCTCTTAAGTGATCTGTATTAGCCTCTAAAATATTTTTTATTTTGGTTTAATAAACAACTATTGTTTCACAGTGGCCTATAATTTTATCTGACCAAGTACTTAAGAACTTTCTAACAAGCTTCTCAAATACCAAATTTTAATTAAAGTTCTTTTGACTTCCAGCTAACTTTATTTTTTAATTGTTTTTTATTTATGTATTTACTTTATAATATCATTTTTTAAGTTGAAGTATAGTTAATGGACAATATTATGTCCAGGTATACAATATAGTGATGCACAATTTTTAAAGGTTATACCCATTTATAGTTATTGTAAAATGTTGGCTGTATTCCCCCTGCTGTACAATTCACCCTTGTAGCTTGTTTTCTACCTGATGGTTTGTACCTCTTAATCCTCCCCCTCCATCTTGCCCCTCCCCCTTCCCTCTCCCCACTGGCAACCACTAGTTCCTTCTGTACATCTGTGAGTCTGTTTCTTTTCTGTTATATTCACTAGTTTGTTTTATTTTTTTAGATTCCACATGTAAATGATATCTTACAGTATTTGTCTTTCTCTCTGACTTATTTCCCTTAGCATAGTGCCCTGCAAGTCCTTCCATATTGTACACCGGAAACTAATATAACATTTTAAATCAACTGTACTTCAATTAAAAAGCAAACAACCAACCATCCATCCAATTTAAAATATGGGCAGAAGAACCGCACAGACATTTTTCCAAAAGAGGAAATGCAGTTGGCCAACAGGGGCATGAAAAGTTGCTCAACATCACTAATATCAGGAAAATGCAAATCAAGATCTCAATGAGATAGCATCTCACACCTGTCAGAATGGCCATCATCAAAAAGAAGACAAATAACAAATGTTGGCAAAGGATATGGAGAAAAGGGAACCCTTGTACCCTATTGGTGGGAATGTAAATTGGTGCAGCCACTATGGAAAATAATAGGGAGGGTTCTCAAAAACCTAAAATTAGAACCACCATATGGCCCAGCAGTTCCACTCCTGGGCATATATCTGAGAAAAACAAAAACGTTAATTAAAAAAGGTACATACACTCCGCTATTAACAGCAATAATATTTATAATTGCCAAGATATGGAAGCTGAATTCTTTTAGCTTTTGTTTATCTGTGAAGTTTTTGATTTGTCCATCAAATCTGAATGAGAGCCTTGCTGGATAGAGTATTCTTGGCTGTAAGTTTTTCCCTTTCTTCTCTTTAAATATATCATGTCACTCCCTTCTGGCCTGTAGAGTTTCTGCTGAAAAATCAGGTGATAGCCTTATGGGAGTTCCCTTGTATGTTATTTGTTGCTTTTCTCTTGCTGATATTAATATTTTCTCCTTATTCTTAATTTTTGTCAACTTGATGACTATGTGCCTTGGTGTCTTCCTCTTTGGGTTGATCCTGTGTGGAACTCTGTGCTTCCAGGACTTGGGTGACTGTTTCCTTTCCCAAGCTGGGGAAGTTTTCAGTTATTTTTGGAGAGATCCAAAAATTTTCTCAGGTTCTTTCTCTCTCTATTCTCTTTCTGGGACCCCTATAATGTGAATATTAGAGCGCTTCATGTTGTCCCAGGGTTCTCTTACATTATCCTCATTTCTTTTCATTCTTTTTTATTTTTTCTGTTCTGCAGTAGTGATTTCCACTAATCTGTCTTCTAACTCACTGATCCATTCTCCTGCCTCATTTAGTCTATTCTTGGTTCCTTCTAGTGTGTTATTCATTTCAGTGGGCAGTGGCCCAATTCCTGGGAATCCCAGCCCCTTCCCCAAAGTAGTTGGAATAATCTTCCCATTTGTTAGCATGTGAAGCTACTGAGCCCTTGCAAAGGAACAACTCCCACACCTCGTGGCCACTCTTCATTCCTAGTGAGACAGACTGCACTCTCTATGGAGTGTGTAACTACAAACTGAAAACCTAACCCCCACACCTCCTAGCCTTTTTCTTGCCTTCTGAAACAGCCTACCCTCTGTCTTTGGAGTATATATCTCTCTGAATAAATCTACTTTTACTCAACTGTGACTTGCTCTTGAATTCCTTCCTTTGACAAGCCAAGGACCCACACTTGGCAGGGCACTTCTCAGGGGCCTAACTGAGACCTAGGACATGGCCATCCTCTTGCCCCACATTCACTTTCCTGTATTGATATGAAGGTTAAAGTAAAAGAAACAGATCTAATATGGAGTCAGATTTGTTCTTCTCTATTACACAAATAAATGCCGTTATTAATATTCGAAGTTAATTATTCTTTACATCGTAATAAAACCCAGTGTCTTCTGAAGACTATATGTTTTCAGGCTTTGTTACTGACACTTGACAGAACTCTTAGGAATAGAAAATTAAGAAAAGAGCTAAAATATATTACTATTTGAAAATAAAATGTACAAATTTCTAATTACCTTCGTAACAAACATATAATCAGTTAGAAGTTACTTTATGTTTAGTTATATATTTAAGTATAATTTCATAAACAAGTTTTTACAAAAGATCCTTAAAAGTATTTCTCATAAGTGTGTAATAGGCCAACTATTTTAAAGAATAATGCAGGTTTTTCTTATTGTAGTAATTATTTCAATTAATGTAAGAATATTTTGCTGTGCACCTTCAATTTATACAGTGATGTATGTCAAGTACATCTCAATAACACTTGGGGAAGACATGGTTTTAAAAGGCAAATAAAACACTTCAGCCAAAAGAAAGATTAATGCAGTTGATAACCACTTTTAAAAATGTATCGCTCTTTTAAAATCAATGGTTAGTGACAGAAATTATGTTTTAGTCCTTCAGTCTCAGTCCCCAGGTTTTGTCCGTGAGTCTCTAGAACTGAGTAGAGTGTTGAGTTTGGCCTCCTGGCTGAATGAAGAATAGAGAGGAAAAGGTGTTGTGTAACATGTCAGTAACAAATGGCTCATTCTATCCAGGGAGAGTTTGTATTTCTCATTCTAACTTGTCATACAAATTTCAGCTCTTATTTTCTTTAAGTGCTTAAATTAATTGTAATTTTAGAAAATATTCCTAGATCCACCACTGCCCACAGCAATCACATGGAGACCAAATTCCCAGCCACTGCATTGCTTGAGCTTCAGGAGAGGGACAAGCAAGCCTCGAGCTCCCAGAAACAGCTTTTCGTTTGTTTTTCTGGGGTGGGGGTGGGCGTGGATTAGATTGATTGTTTGACTGATTGAGATACTGCGGGTTAAACCCAGGATCTCCTGAATGCTAAGCACGGGCTCTGCCACTGAGCAATAATCCCCACAAACAGATTTTTATTGTAACCGTTTTCAACTTCTTAGGAGGAGACATCTTAGTTTCTGATATAAATGCCCCCCACATCTATAAGCTTTTACCATAAAACCCTTCCAGTATGGAGAAGGAACAATCCCCTCTCCATACTAACCCCCTCCCCGGCTCACCAGACTAAGACCTGGGCTCCCTCGCCCACCAGCCCCTGGCGGGCATCGCTCCGCCCACGCCCCACCCCGGAAGTCCCGCCTCTGGCTCCGGGCGAAAGTTTCCCCCGGAACCGGAAGCGGAGGTCGCTGACTGGCGGTCCCCCTATGGAGCGTGTTTCTCCTTTCTAGTATAAATCTGTACTGCGTGTTCCTGCTTAATCCATCCTCTGAATGTAGGAGTCACTGCGGACCTAAAATCCCAGCACCCGGCCCTCAGCCCACGTAAATCCAGACGGCACCGCTCCAGGTCGGGGATCTTTTCCTTCGCGTCTGAAACCACTCTGAGGCTGGTCTCTGTCCTCGGCTTTTCTGCCTTCGGTCATCGAGACACCGCCTTTCCTGATATTTTCCTTCATAAAACCCAATACTCCCTCCGTCCCCCATGTAACGTCCTCTTCTCTGAGCTGGATTTGCGCCCCCAGCCTCGCCCTCTCGGCCCCTGGAGGGCAGCGCCGGCCGCCCCGCTCCCGTGAGGCCGCGTCTTCTCCCGGGTCCCGGGATTCTGGGAGCCCGGCCTCTCCTGAGACCCCCTCCCTCCCAGCCCGTCTGTCCTCGCGTCCTTTTCAGGCGGGTCCTTCTGCTCCGCGGGCCTCCCCTTCGTAATCAGCCCTTCCCCTGACTCCGCCTATCGGGAGGTGACCCGGATCTGCCTTGGGACACGCACTATTGTTCCGTCCCAAATTCCATGCCGCTGGAAAATGTGCTCTTTCTTTAGGCGGGCATCTTATTCAGGCGGCATCCCAGTAAATTCGTGAGCGAGGGGTTACAAGAGTTAGAACCATGGCCTTCAAAGCATGGTGGCCCTGGGAGACGAACAGAGAACAGCGATTGACTTGAAGAGCAGAGGAAGCGAGAGAAGGAGCAGGAAGGAGGCATAGCTACCTGTGATGGGAGCGTGAGGAGGAAGGGAGGGTGAAAGGATAAAAGAGATGTAACTCGGGGGGCAGACAGGGAGCAGAGGTGGAGGAAGTAACAGGCCAAAATACAAGGAGATACAGGGCAATCAGAAAGGTTGGGGGAAAGAGCAACAAGAGGGGAACAAGATACAGAGTGAGTCATGACCGGAATGAGGGAGGAAATAGAAGGGCAGCAGGAACAGCAGGAGAGTAGCGGGGAACAGAGTGACAGAGAGAAGCAGGGAGACAGATAAACAGAATGAACTGGGAAAACATAGTAGTGTGGATCGAGCCGGCCAACTGGTTGCAGACGGGAGGTGAGTTGTTTGGATGTGGGTGATTAATTTGTGTCATATTGATTTATGGTTTTAGAATGTGATAAATATAAAGGTTGTTTGCTTAAATTATGCACCTCTGGTTAGATATTGAAAGACATGGTAATGATTATATTGAGGGAAATATTTACACTCCTGTGAGCATTACGCATTATTCACAACAGTCAAGATGTAGAATGAGCGAAAATGTCTGTTGACAAATGACTGCACGTAGAAAATTTATGTCAGCCATGAATTATGACATTACTATGTCAGAAGAAGAAAGATACTTGACATGGAAACTAGAAATGTGAAACTCATAGAGCCTTAGGGTATGAAGGTTGTCACAAGGGGTTGGGTGGAGGGGGAAATCTGGAGATGTTGGTCAAGGTTACAAACGTCGAAAAATAAAATAGTACAACATGTACACCTAATGTACAGCCTGCTGACTGTAGTTAATCACATAGTGTTACTACATACTTGGAATTTGTGGTGAGAATTAACCTTAAGTATTCTCACTACACAGAAGGAAAATGGTATTCGTGAGTTGATGGAAGTATAAATTACTTTATTGTGATAATTATTACACAGTGTAGACATCTGTTGAATACTCACATTGTACACCTCATGTACACTGTTGTTAAGCATCAGTTATATCTCAGTAAAGCTGGGAAAGAAAAACAAAGTGGGAGGTGTGCTGGGCTTGCTTCCTCTCAGTGGTGCTTGACCCAGGCTTCACAATAGATCTCTGAATCATTTTGCATATGCGTGTTTTGGATACTCTGACCAGAGATTCACCTTCATATAGTCTGTGTGGTGTCCAACCTCAATGATACTTAAGGGACACAAGGTGATTCCAGTCTGGATCCCTCACTGAGCATCCTGATTCTGAGTCCTCCCATCCTGAGGGCTGGGATCCGGGCTGAGGGGGAGGGGGCTCTGCTCTGTGTGGGGATGGCTCAGGGCCTGGTCTGTGACCTGAAGGGGGCTGTCGGGTCCAGCTGAGGTGCCCGCTGCTGCTGTGTAGGTGACGGGCTTACCAGGAGGGAAGGGTGATCTGAGGACAGTGCGGGGAAACTCCTTTGTTGGTGTGTGTGTGTAGTTTCCTGTCCTGAGTCCTTCCTGTGACAGTGGGCAACAGAGGACTGTCTGTTCCACGTGGTGAGGTCTCCCCTGTGTGTATGTATGTGACTGTGGCACAGGGAGGGATGTGTTGTTTATAAGCATTAAATAGAATGTTTTCATTCAACTTTGAAGATCGATCTCTGAAGACCCACGTTGTCTGAGGAAGAAGTCCAGAAGAGGAGGAAGAGAAACAAAAAGGAATCAAGAATGACTGTTTCTCAGGTAAAGTCATATTCTCAGTTGATTGTTTTTTTTTCCCTAATTGAAGTATGGTCAGTTTACAATGTTGTTCAATTTCTGGTGTACAGCATAATGTTTCAGTCATACATATATGTACATATATTCTTTTCATATTCTTTTTCATTATAGGTTACTACAAGATATTGAATATAGTTTCCTCTCTATATAGTGTAATTTGTTATCTGTTTTATATATAGTAGTTGGTATCTGCAAATATCAAACTCCCAATTTATCCCTTTCCACTTCCTTCCCCCTGGTAACCATAAGTTTGTTTTCTATGTATGTGAGTCTGTTTCTTATTTGTGAATAGGTTTTGTCTTTTTTCTTTTTTTTGTTTTCTTTTTTCTTTCTTTTTTTTTTTTTGAAGGGAGGTAATTAGGTTTATTCGTTTGTTTGTTTGTTTGTTTGTTTGTTTGTTTATTTATTTATTTATTTTTGGAGGAGGTACTGGGGATTGAACCCAGGACCTCATGCAAGCTAAGCATGTGTTCTACCACTTGAGCTATACCCTCCCCACTGTGTCTTATTTTTGAATTCTACATATAAGTCATATGATATTTTTCTTTTTCTTTCTGGCTTACTTCACTTAGAATGATAACCCCCAGGTCCATCCATGTTGCTACAAATGACATTATTTTATTTTATTTTGTTATGGCTCAGTAGTATTCATTTGTATATGTGTATACCATATTAGTTGATTATTTTGTCTGTCCTTCTGAAATGCCTTTCTTGGGACTTGTTAATACTTTCTGATTTTGAAGTATCCTGCCTGACATCTCTACATTCACAGTCACCCAGGACCCGCCCTCAGCGTCTGCCACCTCCACTTAGACTCCACCCCCATGACCCAGGGACCTGGAACTTGTGAAGTCTCCCCTGGGCATGGTTCTTGTCAGGACTTCACCCTAGTGGATTCAAACCACTGGTGTGTCAGTGCTGTTGGGCAGCAGGGAGAGTTTAGGGGCCCATCTGGGTGCACTGTCTGCTCTCTGTAAACCAGGATAAGGAAGCTGCTTGTGAAAATCAGACATTAATATGCACAATACCTGGTAAATTCTGGAAACAGAGCAATAAGGGGAAATTTGTTCTGACTTTTTCTTTTTCTTTTTTAAACATTTTTTATTGATTTATAATCATTTTACAATGTTGTATCAAATTCCAGTGTTCAGCACAATTTTTTCAGTCATACATAGGCATATACACACTCATTGTCACATTTTTTTCTCTGTGAGCTACCATAAGATTTTGTGTATATTTCCCTGTGCTACACAGTATAATCTTGTTTATCTATTCTACAATTTTGAAATCCCAGTCTATCCCTTCCCACCCTCTGCCCCCCTGGCAACCACAAGTCTGTATTATATGTCTATGAGTCTATTTCTGTCCTGTATTTATGCTTTGGGGTTTTTTTTTGTTTGCTTTTGTTTTTCTTTTTTAGATTCCACATATGAGCGATCTCATATGGTATTTTTCTTTCTCTTTCTGGCTTACTTCAGTTAGAATGACATTCTCCAGGAGCATCCATGTTGCTGCAAATGGCATTATGTTGTCAGTTTTTATGGCTGAGTAGTATTCCATTGTATAAATATACCACTTATTCTTTATACAGTCGTCTGTTGATGGATGTTTAGGCTGTTTCCATGTCTTGACTATTGTAAATAGTGCTGCTATGAACATTGGGGTGCACATGTCATCCTGAAGTAGGGTTCCTTCTGGATATATGCCCAGGAGTGGGATTCCTGGGTCGTATGGTAAGTCCATTCCTAGTCTTTTGAGGAATCTCCATACTGTTTTCCACAGTGGCTGCACCAAACTGCATTCCCACCAGCAGTGTAGGAGGATTCCCCTTTCTCCACAGCTTCTCCAGCATTTGTCATTTGTGGATTTTTGAATGATGGCCATTCTGACTGGTGTGAGGTGATACCTCATTGTAGTTTTGATTTCCATTTCTCTGATAATTAGTGATACTGAGCATTTTTTCATGTGCCTTTTGATCATTTGTATGTCTTCCTTGGAGAATTGCTTGTTTAGGTCTTCTGCCCATTTTTGGATTGGGTTATTTATTTTTCTCTTATTGAGCCATATGAGCTGCTTATATACTGTGGAGATCAAGCCTTTGTTGGTTTCATTTGCAAAAATTTTCTCCCATTTCGTAGATTGTCTTTTTGTTTTACTTATGGTTTCCTTTGTGCAGAAGCTTGTAAGTTTCATTGGGTCCCATTTGTTTATTCTTGCTTTTATTTCTTCTAGGAGAAAATTTTTGAGATGTATGTCAGATAATGTTTTGCCTATGTTTTCCTCTAGGAGGTTTATTGTATCTTGTCTTATGTTTAAGTCTTTGATCCATTTTGAGTTGATTTTTGTATATGGTGTAAGGGAGTGTTCTAGCTTCACTGTTTTACGTGCTGCTGTCCAGTTTTCCCAACACCATTTGCTGAAGAGACTGTCTTTATTCCATTGTATAATCTTGCCTCCTTTGTCAAAGATTAGTTGATCAAAAGTTTGTGGGTTCATTTCTGGGCTGTTCTGACTTTTTCTAAGAGAGTTGAAGCTAAGTAAGTGAGTCACTGAATTTAAAATCATAACGATTGTGAGTGGAAAAGAAAGTTTAGAAAAAGACATCAGTGACAGAGAGTGTTTTATTCCATCATATGCTTTAAACTGTGAAATCAACTGAAATGTTTGAGAGTTGGAAATTTTTCATAGCACCTTCATCACCTCCAATCTCCAGATTTTTTTCTTTTCACTGTGTTAGTTGTGTTCTTTGCCAAGCAGAAATTTTTACTTTTGATGCAGGGAAGGTTTCAGCTTCATTGTTTTGCACATAAGTACCCAGTTTCCCAGCACCATTTGTTACTGAGACTGTCTTTTTTCCACTCTGCGGTCTTAACGTCCTTGTCAGTACATTTCAAACAGATGCAAGGAGTATTTCTGAGCATTCTCTTCTCTTCTATTATGTATCTGTGTTTACGCAGGTAACACACCATCTTGATTACTTTGTAGTATGTTTTGAAATTTAAAGCAAGGAGGCCTCCATCTTTCTTCTTCTTCAAGAGGATTTTGGGTATTTGGGGTCTCTTGAGGTTCCCTATGACTTTTAGCATGTTTTTCCTATTTCTGCAAAATTAGCCATTGGAATTTTGATAATGATTCCATTGAATGTGTAGAAGAGTTTGGGTAGTTTGGCTGTTTTAAGAGCATTAAGACTTCCAGTCCATGAGTATGGGTTGTCTGTCCATTTATGTTTATCTTTTTGGATTTCTTTTAGGAATGGTTAGCAGTTTTCAGTCTGTAAGTCTTTCCCCTCCTGGGCGAATTTATTCCTAAATGTTACATCCTTTTTTTAATACTATACTAAATAGGATTCTTCTCTAATTTTCTGTTGACATTGTTTATTGTGTATGGAAATGCAGCTAATTTTTGCATGCTGATTTCGTATTATGCATCTTTTCTAAAATTGGTATTTGAAGTAGCAGTTTTCTTGTGGAATCTTTACAGTTTGTATATATCAAACCTTGTCATCTAATAAAGAAATTTTCCTTCTTTTTTAATTTGGGAGATTTTGGGTTTTTTTCTTGTTTCATTCCACTGGCAGGATTTGTAGTACTTTGTTGAACAGTAGTGCAGAGTACTTCTTTTCTAGCAAAGTAACCTTTTTTTGGTGTGTTCCTGAAATTTTTAAGATCATGCTAGATAGTTTCATAACTGGTATAAGCACTAGCTTCAGTGTCCTAGACTGTGTTTAACATGAAACATTTATTTATGAGTTGTAATGAATAGGATACTTATAGTTGTATGTATCTTGTAGCTATGTCTCAAATACATGTAGTCAAGAAATACAATGAAAAGCAAACACGGATAGAGAAGTACTCCAGACAGTGATGATGGAAAGTCATGAAAGGAGTGAGATGGAGCACTTATACCTCGGGAGCATCCAGGAAAATATATGTGACACAGAGTCTCAGCAGAGAGATGAGGAAAGAAATTACAAAGGAATGTCTGTAGCGTATAATGGAAATCTCAGTGATGAGAGAGATCACCATGGCATAAGTGGTGCAGGAATCAAGCGTATGGGAAATAAACTTGCATTAAGCTGTTGAGATGAGCCACATAATTTTATAAATGAAGAGAAAATTGATGAATTTAATCAAGCTGACAAGCTTATCAACAATAGTGCCTCATTTTCACCAATTCTGGGAGTTTCTTATAGTGTCCAAAGCAACATTTCTAATATATATGAGAGTGATTTTATGCATCCCTCAATACTGACCCAAGATCAGAAAGCATGCAGGGAAATGCTGTACAAATGTAACCAGTTTGGCAAAACCATTCTTCAAGGATCATACCTCAGTGGACATCAGATCGTCCATATAGCAGAGAAATTAGATAGACCTGATATATGTCAAAGAGCCTTTAGTCAGAATTCATGTCTTGCCATTAATTGGAGAACTCATAATGGAGAGAGACCTCACAAATGTAATTTGTGTGGCAGGGTTTTTAGTAATAAAACAACCCTTTGAGGTCACCAGAGAATTCATAGTGGAGAGGGACCTTGCAGGTGTAATGAGTGTGGCAAGGTCTTTACTCAGAGAGGAAGCCTTGCATGTGGTCATTGGATTCATTCTGGAGAGAGGCCTTATAAATGCAGTGAGTGGGGCAAGACCTTTCGTAAGGGTCCATGTCTCAGGCAACGTCAACTAATCCATTCAGGAGAAAGACCATATAAATGTGATGTATGTGGGAAAGGCTTTCATCAGAATTCATCAGAGGATTCATACTGGAGAGAAATGTTACAAAGGTGATGAGTGTGGTCAGACCTTTCATTACTGCTCAAAACTTTGTAGACATGAGATCATCCATACAGAAGAGAAATTATATAAATGTGATGTATATGGTAAAGTCTGTAGTCATAAAACAACCCTTGGAAGTCATCAGAGAATTCATACTGGAGTGAAACCTTACAAATACAATGAGTGTGGCAAGGTCTTTAGTCATAAAACAAGCCTTAGAAGTCATCACAGAGTTCATACTGGAGAGAAACTGTACAAATGTAATTAATGTGGCAAAGTCTTTAGTACAAAAACAAACCTTACCAGTCATCAGAGAATTCATTTTGGAGAGAGACCTTATAAATGCAGTGAGTGTGGCAAAACCTTTCTTCAGCTCTCACATCTCACACATCAACTAATCCATTTAGGAGAAAAAACATATAAATGTGATATATGTGGGAAAGGCTTTGGTCGAAATTCATACCTTGTAAGTCATCAGAGAATTCATACTGGAGAGAAACCTTATAAATGACATCTTTAGTCATAAAGCAACCCTTGTCAGTCATAAGAGACTTCATACTAGAGAGAAGCACTTGAAAAGTAAGAGTGTTGAAAAGGCTTTACTGAGATCTCAACCCTCACTACACATCAGGGAATGAATGCAAAGGGCAAACCATACCAATGTAATATACATGGGAAGGTAATCATTCAAAATTGACACTTGATCTGGGGTGATTCATTGTGTGGAGAAATGGACATGTCTTGGGTGTGGCAAAGCCTCTCTTAACCATCAGATAATCCATACTGGACAGAAATCATAGAAGTGTAATGAATATCTCAATGTCTTCAGTTCAGTATTCTTACCTCAGGGTCCACCAGCAACATTATAAATCAGCTATGCTTCAATAAAAAAAGAAAAGGTCCACCATGAATTCCTGCTAGAGAGGAAGGTTCCAAATACAATGTGTGTGGCAAATCCTTCATTGTACTTTGAAGCCTAGCTTACAAAGAATCCCTATTGGTGAGGAACATTAAGTAAGAGTTTTAGCAGGTGTGCACATCTTAAGCTTCATTGGAAAAGTCGTACTGGAGGGAAATCGGATAAATGTGTTTAGTATGACCAGACCTTTAGTCAGGGAATTCATTCACCAGAACTCATTCTAGAAATTACCTCACAAATGCCTTGAATGGGATAAATTCTTCCTCAGGGCTTACAGCTCACAAGTTATCCATATTGGACAGAACATTACAGATATTCTGAATGTAGCAAAGCTTTTGGGTTGTGCCTTAAACTGAGGCTTCACCAGATAGGTCATACTTAGAAATGCAATCAATACGGCAGCGTTTCAAAGTGCTCACTTGTAACTTGATATCAGAATACATATCCTGGGAAGAAACCACACAGATGTAATGTGTGTGGCAAGGATTTTACTGAAAGATCACAAGTTGGGGGACATACTGGAGTGACACCTTACAAATGCAACAGGTGTGGCTAAACCTTTACCTTGAATTGAACTATCAGGCCAGAGCAGAAAGTCAGGATTGAAGAAAAGCCATGGTAACATACGGTAGAAACTTTATGCAATCTCACAGTGCAGTAGACTTCAGAATATACAATTTTGTGAGAAACCACAGAAAGCAATATGTGTGCTAAGGCTTATACCTGAAGATCAAATTTGTGGAACATACAGAATTTATGTTGGAGAACAAGCTTTCCAATGGAGTGAAATTTGCAAAGTTTTCACTCATGTACCAACCCCTTTGGTGTAATGAGAGAACTTTGTAACTTAGACGATTGATTTCTTGAATATGTGTAAGCACATTTGACTGTCCTTTATGATTGGATTACTGCATTCTCTTGATTCTTATTTTGGGTTGGCTTTATTCCTTTGATAACTGTAACTTTAAAAAGCTAAAGCTCTAAACTGTTGTTAGAAATAATGAACAGTACATATATGTAAATTTAAAAAATATGTGTAATATATTGTATATATGTATAATATAGTGTATGTGCAGTCAGAAAAAAAAGTGTGTAAATTATTGTGTCCTAGTTAGCTCAGTCTCCAAAAGAGGACTTCACTGCTGGGTGCTCCAGAAAACAACTGACTAACCACCAAGGACGAAGCCTTGAAACAGAAAGGACAAAACCTGAAACTGAGTCCTGCTAAAACCAGCTTCCTCTGCCGAGTTTATGATTAGCCTCTCTATCCAAAACTTTTATTTCTTTTTTCCTCCCTCCCATGTTCCCCTCATGATTGAAGAATACCTAAGAAAATGGTAAATTAAACCCAAGCTGGACCCTGTGGGACCTTTTGGAGTCCAAAGTCCCCTCTGTGTCCCCAGTTTCTTGTGTGCAGAAAAAAGGCTTTGCCTTCCAGTCCTCCCCTGAGTTCCAAAGAGCAGGCTCAACAATTAAGGGTTAGAAGAACAGAGTCAGAGTACGCCTATGCCCTCCGTATGGATATAGGTAACAGTCTGAAGCGTATCTTTTTGAGTTGTTCTGCAAAAACCAAGACCCCCCTCCAACCCCGATCAAGTGAGAATGAGGATGCTGGCTGAAAATAACCAGTGGAACCTGAGTGCTGTGAGTTCAGTTTTATCTGGGGCTTACTGAGGACTGAGGCCTGGGAGACAGCCACTGGGAGAGCTCTGAGTTACTGCTGGGAAGAGGTGGGGTGAGAGGTCTGTCTCATCCCATATGCTTTTGATGAAGGGAGTTCGTTCAGTGAAGCACACGTATTGGCAGAAGGTTGCTGCTATTCACTAGACGGTTGCTGTTTGGCAGGAGGAACAGATGTCTCCATCAGTGATTTTAGTGCTAGTCTAGATATGAGAAGATGCAAGACATTGGGCTCATAAAATCAACATGACTAGTTAGAAATTCTGTTTAATACAGAGTAATCTGCCTCATGAATTTCACAAAGTTTATCGGAGTGACTGCATCTTCTAAAAATCTGATACATCTTTTTGCATGTGTGCTACACCAGGACATTGTGCTCATTTTATCTGAAAACACTTTAAATATGCGAATTTCCTTATCTAAACATCATCATATTTCAGTGGATTCCCATGTCTCTGTGGATGAAATATCTGAATGTAGGGATGGGATGAAACATTCTTTGTAGTAGATGTGATCTGACATTTATTGCCATAAAAATATTGAGGGTTGAAGTGAAGTTATTGCATATTTGGTAATCTAGTTTTACTTTCTTTAGGGTTGTCAACTGAAATTAAATCTTACAATATGAAAGTTGAGAGTTAAATTTTATTTGGGGCCAAATGAGGACTATAGCCCCACAGATAGTATTTCAGATAGGTCTGAGGAACTTCTCCGAACAGGTAGTAGGGGGATGTCGGTATCTGTGTGCTTTTGGTGGAGAGGTGCCTGCAGTCAAGCACACATCATTCCAGAAGTTTACTGCTAGTCACAGTGAGCAGATGGCTACATTAATGATTTTACTGATTTTCTAGAAATGCGGAGATGCCAAAATTTGGGCTTATCAAATCTTCTGAAAATATCTAACTATCCAGAGGCCTGTTCTGCAAGTTTTTTACAGAGCATGGAGTGCCTCATTCCTGATCTGGATGCTGAACGCCTTTCAGGGTGTGTTGAAGGTCAGCAGCTGTTGTGGCTTGACATTTAATCTTTGTAGAGGTAGATGACAAGTGATAAATTTTTAGTTGGCAGAGGTCATATTAAAGAGAATGTATCTTCCTACTAAATGGCTTTAGAAATACTAAAACTTAAATTTTCTTTAGGTGGAAATAAATTTCAGTGTCTTCTGAAGAGTATATGTGTTACAGGCGTTGTTATCTTTCAGCAACAGAAACCAAAGAAAAGAGCTATAATATATTACAATTTGAAAATAAAAAGTGAAACTTTCTAATTACCCTTAGAACAAACATATAATCAATTTAAAATTATAGTACGTTTAGTTATCATATACTTAAGTATAATTTCATGAACAAGTTTTGGTTGCAGACATTTAAACATAATTTTCACAAGTGTGGAATAGAGCCGAGTATTTTAAAGAATAGTGTAGTTCTCATAAACAGATTTTTTTTGTTTTTGTCGTTTCTCTTTTTATTATATCTATATGAGATGACGGATGCTTACTAAACTTATTGCGGTAATTATTTTAGTACATGTAACTCAGAACATTATGCTATACATTCTAAACCCATACAGTGATATATGTCAAGTACATTTCATTGAAACTCTAGGGAAAAGATGGGTCAAAAAAAGCAGTAAAAAGAAAGAACAATGCAATTTGTAAGGATTTAAAAAAAACATATTCTTAAAGCAATGAGTATTGGTACAAGTTACCACATGCCTTAGTTCTCCAGGCTCAGATCCCAGGTTTTGTCCCTGAGTCTCTGCAACTGACAGCGTGGCCTTCTGGCTAAATGAAGAATAGAAAGGAGAAGCTGTCTTGTAAGTGTCAATATGAAATGGCCCATTCTACTGGGGGAGAGTTTTGTATTTTTCATTCTAGTTTATAATACAGAGACAAGTCTAGCTCTTTTTTCCTTAAACAGCCTTAAATGAATTCTACTTGCAGGAAATACCCCGGGATTCAACCACGGCCCCACGGCAACCACTTGGAGACCCACGGTCGCAGCCACTGGATTGCTTGAGCCTCAGGAGCAAGACATCTTAGTCTCCAAGTTTAGCAGCCCACAGTGCTGTGAGATTTTACTTTAAAACTGTTCCAGGGTCAAGACAAGGGGAAGCACCATCTGTGCACCCTCCCACCTCCGCCTGGGGATCCCTCCTTGCCCCACCCTTACCGGAAGGGCTCCGCCCAGGCCCCGCCCCAGAAGTCCCGCCTTTAAGTCCCCCGCCGGCAGTTTCTTCTGGAAAGAGAAGTGGGAAATGCCTAGGGAGGGCTAGCCAGCGGAGCATGAGTTTCTTCTTTCTAGTATAAATCTGTGCTGCGCGGTCCCCCTTCCTCCGTCCTCAGGGTGTGGGAGTCACTGCGGACCAAAAGCCCCATCACCCGGCCATGTAAGTCCTGACGGCGCAGCCTCAGGTGCCACTGTGTGTGCGGGAGACATAGGCCAACCAAACAGAAACGGAGTTTGGAGCTGAAAAAGGTTTATTGGGAGGCTGAGTAAGGAGTAATACAGACAAAATTTCAGAGAACATTTTGTTTTTTACTATTTTTTAGTATTTTAACTTTTAAAAGTATTTTTAGGTTTTTTGTTTGTGTTTAGTATTATGGGTTGCAACTGAAGAAATCTTGAGATGCACTATGAAAGATATAAAAGAATTTGGAGTGTTTCCTTGGTTGATGTGGGGTTCTCACTGGGGCACATTTATCATTGGAAACATCTTTTATCTGCAGTGTTTGGAGATGACAGTGTGTGATCTGATCACTGGGAATGAAAGTATGGTGTTTTGCATCTAGGTGTTCCTTGGGTGCCTTTGTACATATTTTCCCCTTAGGCACGATTTAGTAGAGTTTGGGGTGTTTTCTGGTATTTTATAGCAGGATGAGTGGATATGGGTTTTATGGAGACTTTTGGATTCCATGAGCGTTTGTAAGTTCCCTTGAGTCTATAAGGGAAGTTATGAGCACTAAGCTTCAAATGGCAGAAGGTTTTCATTAGAGGGACTCTGCTAGGTGTGTCTGTGCACCCAGTTTCAGAAGGGCCATTGAGTTCTTTGATGCAGGGAAAGATTGTTCCAAGAATCAGAGGGCAAGCAACACCATAGGGATCTGCAGTCCAGAGGCTCATATACTTGGGAAGATGTAGGTGCTACTTTCTTGCTGCCAAGTCATTACTGGTTCCTCTCCTTTCCTTAGCTGTCTCAAAATGTGCACGTGTGCACAGAAACAAACACCCACATACACTCGCACACATGCGCAATACAGAGAAAAGGGAATCCTTGTGCTTTGTTCTTGGGAATGTAAATGGTACACACTTGTGAAAGTACTCTCTCACCTCACTGGAAGGGCCTCTGTCTCACTGGAAGGGTACTGTTGACTAACCTTTGTGATTTCACACTCTAGGGAGGAGGCTCCTGGATCCGCACGTTGCAGCTAAAGAAGGCATCGAACCCTGACTGGACCTGCACAGGGCCTGGCGACCTGAACGTAAAGCTCACTAGGGTCTGAGGCAGATGACATCTGAGGCTGGCAGCTCTCCCGAGATGTCTGGACCAGGCCTGCATAACTTTCTTTCAATGCCACCTCTTACTTTGTTTTCTCCGTCCCTTCCATGGAAGGACAGCGCCCTGGTTTATAATTCCCAAGCCCTTGTGAAAGCGGGAAGCCTGATTCCTGGATTTGCTACCGGAAGCCTCAGTCTGCCCAGGAAGCAGTGGCCGTTGTTTCACCCTGTAAGTAACTTCACGGGGGTCCCAGTTGCTGTTGTCTGTCGAAATTTTTCCAAGGAGCTGTTTAATTTATTCTTTTTGAATTAATTCTGAAATTATAATCCTGAAGCATTTTAAGATTCAAACTTTGCTAGCACTTGGATCAATCTCCAAGAACCCCTTCAATGAGGATTTTATTCAAGTATATTACCAGCAGGCATGGGTTGGTTAGGGTCTCAGACCTCCAGTCTTTTCCACATGCTCAGACCATGGCTAAAGAATTATTTCTCTTTGCTATATAGTATTGCCGTTGGGTTACTTTTCCAGACATGTCCACCTACCAGATTCCTGATGCATCTAACTATACAGAATGGCTCTCAGTCTGAAACAGGAAATACTCATTGACTCCTTTCTGCTGCCAAACTTGAGCTCCATATAACAATCCTAACAAACAAAGCGTGAGTGTGAGGGAGGAAGCCAGACCCTGAGATCTGGGGTAGTGTTCCTGTGACCTCATCTCCCCAAAGATTTTTTTTTTAGCAGTTCTTTTACTATTTTATTTTATTTTTTAATTGAAGTATAGTCAGTTCAAATGTGTCAATTTCTGGTGTACAACATAATGTCCCAGTCATGCATATACATACATTTATTCATTTTCATTGAAGGTTATTACAAGATAGTGAATATAGTTCCCTGTGTTGTTTATCTATTTTTATATATAGTGGTTAACCTTTGCAAATCTCAAACTCCCAAATTTATCCCTTCCTACCTCTTTTCCCCCCAGTAACCATAAAATTGTTTACTATGTCTGCAAGTCCCAAAGAATTTCAATCATCTTTTCACTTTGAGTGGCAATGGCAGTTCACCCTTGAGACTAGGAACTGGGAATTGCTTTGAAAAAATTATTTTCCTGAAGCTATTGGGAATTTCTAGTAAGCATATCCAAAAGGGGGAAACTCTTCCTTTTCCATTATTCCTGGAGGCAGACAGAGTTTCACATGGAGGAAGGAGGAAATACTGAGGTCTGAGCCAGGGAGGACTTGCAGAGAAGCACACATGTCTCAGTGGCTTCTCTGCATCCCTGAGAACTTCTTTTACCTCAGATCTAATTCCTTCTGAAATCTCTGAGGATTCCTGAAATACCATCATCATATAATTTATGGGCAAAGAAACAGAATCACACCATCAGGGGTTTTCAATTTTTAAAATTTTCAATCAGTTCAAGGAATTTTTAATTTTTAAAAAATACAAAAGGAGCATGATGTCAGTAATTGAGATTAGAAAATATATGCCCCTTTTCTCCAACTCAGTACAAAGCAGCTGGGAAGCCTAGATGAAATGGACATTTTCTAGGAAAATACATTTTACCAGTATTGACTTCAGTAGAGATAGGAGTCTAAACAGACCAATATCCATGGGGGAGATGGAGAATTTTGTGAGTTCCACACAAATAAAAGCACCAGGATCAAGTTAACAGGCAGATTCGTCCATTCTCTTAAAGAACAGATAAGCCAGTGCTGTTTACTCAGTTCAAGCATTAAAGCAGAAGTAAAATTTCCAAATCATCTATATAAATCAAATAAAATACTGAAATGTCCTAAAGGCTGTACCAAAAAAGAATAGTAAAGAAAGGTCTCACATCTGCCTACAGATGGCAACATCTAAAATAAAATATAGGAAAATAATAGATGATGACCATGTGAATTTTATGTCTGGAATTCAAGTGTGATTCAGTCTATTAATATTCGGTCATCGTATTTATGGAGATAAAGAGAAGTCAGGGAATCTTACTCATAGTAACAAAAACATCTATTTGCAAGATTTCAGCATGTATATGTTAACTTAAAACATTAGAAATCAATGCATTTTTTTCTAACATGTCAAAATGAAGTTTTTACCTTGCTCTTTGGGAAGCACTAAAAATATTCTACTAAGGTCAGAAAACCCACACTAAAAAAAGCATATGATCAATCTCATTGTGTTGGAGGTTTAGCCAGGGCAATTAAAAATGGCATGAGAATTGGGAAGAAAGATATGAAACTATGTTTGCAGGTGATGCAGTCATACATCTGGAAGCACAAAGGAATTGACAGAAAATCTACAAAAAATAAATCAGGAAGCTCAATATAAACATATAAAAACAATAGCTCTCATAGGTACAAAAACCAATCATTTACAAGATAATAGTGTGAGGAACTATAAATAGAAATGCACAACCTGAAATTAAATAAAATAATTGGGAATAAATCTAACAAACACTTGTAAAACCTGTGTGAGGAAAACTATAAAATATCCCTGAAATATATGAAAGTAGTTACAAACAAATGGAAATTGACATCATGTTCTTGGGTAGAAAAACAGTATTATAAACTTAATTTGTTCTGGATATAGACACTCAGTTTCTGAAGCTAGCAATGTTTGGGGAAAAATCTTACGGGACAAAGAACAAGTAAGAATAGCCACAAAAGGGAAACAAAAAGAGGGGTGGCTGTCGGTAGGAGACATGTTTATTCGTAACTGATAGTTCAGTGAAGCTAAAAATTCAGGAAAATGCAACAGTGCATAGAAAAAGTAAGTAGCAAAAACCTACAAGGAGATAACAATGTATGCAAGATGCAAATTCCTATCACAATACAGTAAGTGGTCTTAATTGTCCCATCCTATAGTAAGATAAACGTCAAAGGGTAGAAAATTATTAAAATATGGTTGCATTATTTAATAAGGCTTGGTTCTCAAACATCTGACTGTAGCAATTACTTGCTCACAGTCTCCAAAGGAGTCCCTCAGACAGTGACAGGTTCAGGGTTGAAAAATTTCCTCAGTGATTTCTGTTGCTTTTTTTTTCCCGCAGTGATTTTTGACGCCTCCAAGTGAATGTGGAACAGAAGTGAAAATTATGCTCTGGTGGGAAGTTGGCATAAATTTGCACATCCTGTACTGGCACAGTGTTGCATTTCCTGTCACACTCCAGTTTCCATCACTTACTCTAAACCTCCGGCTTTCGCTTAATTAAATAAGAAGCTGTAACGGCCT